ACCTATAGGTTATATATGTTGGCAGTTCCCAAGAAGTACCTAGAAAATGGAACCTTCCACCAAGAGTGGTTTGTCCCCTTCTCACAAGGTGGGTCTTGATGTCAAGGCCCCCTAAGGCACAGAAACACAGCACTCCACCGTGTCCAAGTTCGTAGTGATTGGTGGCACCTTATGAAAGTAGTTTTTACTTTCACAATTACTGATTACACATCAGCATACCTTATCCATGTTCTCTATCCTTGGCAGCCTGATATTTGAATACAAACAACATAAAAGTGATTACATGCAGCATTTCAGGACAGTTTTCAAAGTGGAAGAATTTGGCACTTTCTTCTATTTTCTTCCCGTTCTTTGTCTATTTCCTTTGCATTTGGAAGCCAGAGCCCTCGAACCTTTACTTCTGCATGTTATTTTCGTTCCCTAGCTGGAGTTCTCTTTATTACTACTTTTTTGTTTCCAATTGATCTCTTTTTAAAAATAAAACATAATGAAACCCCGTCTCTACAAAAATTAGCTGGGCATGATGGCAGGTGCCTGTGATCCCAGCTACTTGGGAGGCTGAGGTGGGAGAATCACTTGAACCCAGGAGGCGGAGGTTGCAGTAAGCTGTGATCATGCCGTTGCACTCCAGCCTGGGTGACAAGAGTGAAACTCCGTTTCAAAAATAAGTCAATAAATAAATAAAAATATGAAATTAAGCTTAGCTAGCCTGTGTAGATGTTTTAGATGGTCACATCTTTGTCGGATATGACATTTGTGCCTTTTAGTAAAACCATTTTAGTATTGTAAGAAAAAAAGGGAAGTATAGGGAGGACTAAGAACATATTTGTACTTCTATGTAATTCTATTTTATGTGTCTATTTCCATTGAAATATGGCCTTGACATCATTACTGGCTCCGAAGTCCCATCCTGTTTTTTCATTGACTTGCTTGTGCCAGGTACTGTGTTAAGGAAGTGGAGCTACAAGATGGATAAGGCATGGTCCCACCCTCCACGTGGGAGACGGCACATCAGTGTACTTAGGATGCTGCATGTGGTGACAGATGAGGGCCCTGCGAGGGAGCACACCACAGGACCGGGAGGATGGGACGGGCGGGAGGAGTGGTCAACTTTGCCTGAAAGCATCAGGACAAGCTTCCAGGAAATGGCACATCCAAGCTGAGTCTTGGACAGCGGGTTAAAGAGGCAGAGAGGGGAGAGAAGAATGTTCCACATGGGAAAAGAGGTCTGGAGGTGACGACAAGTAACAGCATTTGTGGGCTGTGCTGGGAGCTTGATATTCCAGAGGCATGAGGTCTGAGGCAGGGAGTGTGGAGGAAGATGAAGGTCGGGGAAGGAACTTTACATGAGGGCGGCCTTGACTTTCATATTAAGGCACTTTAGGGAAGCAGGAACCAGTGAAGATAGGAGAACATGGTGACTACACAGGCACACCGAAGTGGGGAGGAGGTAGGTTTTTGAAGGGAATTTGAGCTTGCAATTTTTCAAGGGCATTCAATGGTTACAAATGAAACTTTTCATTAATATATTTGTGTCCAAGTGTTTTTAGATGTGCTTTTCTGCTACTCTCTTTTTATTTGGTTTGGAGATAGATGATGACTTTCCTTCAGGGCCTTCTATGTGTCTTCCCATGTTAATGTCTCAAACACATGGTCCGTGTCATCATGGAGCTTGCAGTCTAACAGGGTAGATTAACACATAAGTATGCATCCAGTTGGAAAGAACTTAGAGATCACTTGATCAGCCCCCATTATGTAAAATGTACGCAACAACCTACCTCCAACTATAGGGTGACGTTAAACAGTTTTTCAAAATACCATGGCATTGAAAAAAAATGCATAACATTTTGTTACTTCAGTCCCACTCCCCAGTACTGATCAGGCCAGTGAACCAGTCTTGCTGGTGAAATAATGACTTCCACAGTCATGACGGATAATTTCCTGTCATCTTGACCATTCCCTCCCTGGCTCTGTCCTTTATCTGTGACTGTCTTCTTTCCTCCCTCTCCTTCCTCCTCTTGCCCTCTGCCTGCCATACCCAACTCTGCATTTCTCTGCTTGGAAAAATCCTGCTTGATCCTCAGAGCCTGACTCCATCACCCCGTTTCTCCGAACCTCCCAGGCAAACTCTGCCCCTCCCAGTGTGCTGTCCTCCAGCTCTCTCTAACTGAATAACAAATGTTCTCTCTCCCGCTTCCCTGCAGGGCTTCAGGGTAGTGATCCTAAGAGTGAGCGTCTACCTGTGAGAAAAATGCCTCGATGTAGCAGGAATTCCCACAAATGCTTAGGAATTCAATACGGTTTTTAGCAAGTGGGAGAATTACCCTTTCAGTTACAATGATGTGAACTATTTTTGTGAGTTCTCAGTATGCACCAAGAAAAACCCCAGTGACACAGTAATGTACCTGTGCCATCTCACTTAATCCTTCCAACAAGGAACTTGCCAAGGTTGCATAGCTGGGAGGGATCCAAGGTCCCATCTGTGTGCTAACCTGCAGGACAGCCCCACGTTGGGGCCTTATTGTCCAGCCTTCCACCTCCAGGAGCTCACTCAGTGATGACTTCTGACAAAAGTCACCTGGATTATCCCTCTTTTGGGGTCCATGATGCCACCAACATGCTAAAGTTAACAAATGCATTACCAGGGGGTACCACTGAGGTAAGGATTGTTACTGTAAGTGATTTTCTCTGATTTTGACCACTACTAATAAAATTACAAGACTTGTTCCAAATGCTATATAAAAAAGAATGTCTTTTATTTCTCGAAATTGTTCTGCCACATAGTTTGTTCAAGTAACACATAATAAAGGATAAATGGCTTGTAGCTATATTTACCCAAATTGAACATTTTAAATTTTAAATTTGTCAAAAGCATATCAATGGTCATAAAAAATTTTATATCCTCTGACCCTATTGCTTTACCCTTGGGAATTTATTCCAAGAACATAATTTGAAAGAGATTAAAGCACATAGGCACAGATATTTTCAGTACAGCATTGTTTATATTGGAAACAACCCAAATGTTCCGTAACAGGGGGAACAATTTTGTAAATCTTGCTACAGCAACTTTACAGAATTATAAGATGCCACTTATAATTGTAAATTTTGAAAGTTTGTAGCACAGCAAGGAAACTGATCATGTTAAATGTTTCTGATATCTTAGTCGATTTTTCTCCCAATTCCTATCTGTGTACTGTTCGTACTATCAGCGTGTAAGTATGTATTTCATAAACATTTACTTTTTCTTAAATCAGTAGTATTCCCTTCCTAGAGTGGTTTGCTTCCCAGATTTTCATGGACATTCATCTCCCCAGGGCATCTTGTAACAATGTGATTCTGATTCTGTAAACTTTATTCGGAGCCCAAGATCCCACGTTTCAACTTAGAGGCTCTCAGGAACCGCTGATGCTGTTGATCATGAACCACACACTGAGTAGCAAGGCCCTAGAGCTCTCTGTGTGTGAAGAAGATGCTGCTGACTCAGGGCCTCGCTTTCTCGAAAGGCAGCTGTGACCTTTTCTAGCAACTGAGGGGATGGAGACTAGAAATGAGTGTTTTCTGGTGTTTCTCTAATAAAGCTGCTGTCTTGTATTCAGATTGATCATCAGTATCCTTATGCTCTTCAACGAACTTGAAATTTGTCAGTTAACAGAAATGACTGGGTGGCACTAAAATAAATTATTCTTAATATAAAGAGTAAGAAAGGGCTGGACGCGATCCCAGCACTTTGGGAGGCCGAGGTGGGCGGATCACCTGAGGTCAGGAGTTTGAGACAAGCCTGGCCAACATGGTGAAAACCTGTCTCTACTAACAATACAAAAAAAAATTAGCCAGGCGTGGTGGTGGGTTCCTGTAATCCCAGCTACTTGGGAGGCTGAAGCAGCATCGCTTGAATCCGGGAGGCGGAGATTGCAGTGAGCCAAGATCGCGCCATTGCTCTCCAGCCTGGGAGACAAGAGCGAAACTCCAACTCAAAAAAAATAAAATAAAATAAAAGAGTAAGAAAGGATCTTCTATTGTAATCATACTCTCATTACCCTTTGATACAATTTGGAACCTGATTACAAAGTTAAAAATCCCCATCTGTGGCTGCGCGCGGTGGCTCAAGCCTGTAATCCCAGCACTTTGGGAGGCCGAGACGGGCGGATCACGAGGTCAGGAGATCGAGACCATCCTGGCTAACACGGTGAAACCCTGTCTCTACTAAAAAATACAAAAAACTAGCAGGGCGAGGTGGCGGGCGCCTGTAGTCCCAGCTACTCGGGAGGCTGAGGCAGGAGAATGGCATAAACCCGGGAGGCGGAGCTTGCAGTGAGCTGAGATCCGGCCACTGCACTCCAGCCTGGGCAACAGAACTAGACTCCATCTCAAAAAAAAATAATAATAATAATCCCCATCTGTATGAAGAAAAGCTTCACTGGCCGGGCGCCTTGGCTCAACACCTGTAATCCCAGCACTTTGGGAGGGAGGCGGGTGGATCACAAGGGTCAGGAGTTTGAGACCAGCCTGGCCAACATGGTGAAACCCCATATCTACTAAAAATAAAAGAAAAAAATTAGCCAGGTGTGGTGGCACACACCTGTAGCCCCAGCTACTCAGGAGGCTGAGGCAGGAGAATTACTTGTACCTGGGAGGCAGAGGTTGCAGTGAACCGAGATCACGCCACTGTACTGTACTCCAGCCTGGGCGACAGGGCAAGACTCCGTCTCAAAAAAAAAAAAAAAAAGCTTCGCTGTGAGCTTTGATATTGGAAGAAAAGTCTTGACCTGGTCACCACAAGGAATCCCTCAGGCCTGGTGGCGTCAAGCAGAGAAGGGCGCAGTCTCTTTAGGGCAGAGAATGAAGAACCTTTCTATGACAGTGGGGAAATCAGTTTACCTTTGTGTTGGTAAACAAAAGGAATGTAAGCTGTCCTTTGAGCTCGAATCATAGTGGTGTTTGCCAAAACCTACTTTTGTTTTTAGAAGATAATAGCGCATATTCCACTTGCTTCTCCACAGTGACCGAAGCTGGCTTTGGTGCTGACATCGGAATGGAGAAATTCTTCAACATCAAGTGCCGAACTTCCGGCTTGGTGCCCAACGTGGTTGTGTTGGTGGCAACGGTGCGAGCTCTGAAGATGCATGGAGGCGGGCCAAGTGTAAGTGCCCACACCGCCTTCCTAATACCAAAGAAATTGCATTATGTTAAAACAGAATTGAGCATTTAAAAAATTCCTGCCTGTTTAATGACTATAGTTTTCTAGAGTATTTTTTTCTAAAACTTTTTTTTTCCTGTAGACCTCCTTTGTGGACATCTAAAAACTCTTTTTTTTTTTCCAACGCCACCATAGGGCACTTTGAGTTTAGTAAGTTCGAGTAAACAGTAACACCCACAGTTCTTTTCTAAACAACATTTTGGAAAGGAGCATAATGCAACCACTTTTTAATCTTAAGCCTCACATCTGATACTCAGGCCAAGATTGTATAACCATATGGTAATGCGCGGCTAGAGGCTCTTGTCCCTGAACGAAGAACATGAGGATTAGAGTGAGTTCTTTGATGACTGAGATTTTTCCTTGTTTGTACAGATAGTTTTTCGGTTCACTGATGCTGTAACTCATCAGATTTCATCTAAAACTATTTTCCTTCTCTTTCTGTTTATTAAGATTTCTTCTCACAACTGTGTTATAATACTGGATTGTTTCTAAGAGAGCTTTGCTTGGAAAACACAAATTCGATTTTAACTTCTTTAAAGGCTTTTGATATTTACCTATCCTAATATATATAGCAATTACAGACATTATAAAGGAAATATATTCCTTTCTGCAGAAAACCTGTGCGTAGATTTTGGGGGTTTGTTTTTTTGTTTGTTTGTGGTTCGTTTGTTTCATTTTTAGGAATTTCAAAGTGTAGAATAAGACATTTTATACTGATTAGTCATTTTGAAATAAAATAAAATAAAATTTCTCTGTCATTATAATATTCACATATGAGACGAACTGCCAAATCTGATTTCTTAATTGGCATACGGTACTGTGTATGTGACAAAAGTCATCTATTCAGTGATTATTACATAGTCAAAACAAGAAGCGGGTTTGCCATCATGAAATGCTATAAAGCAATTCTTTGTCCTGGGAGAAGTGGACATTATTTTTATACCATTTTACAGATAAGGAAGCTGAGGTTTGATAGGCTTAGGGAATGTGGACAATGTCAGCAGGCCAGCAGAGTGCCGAGCACTTCAGATCTAAATCTACTATGTCCACCATGCAGAGCTGGATGTTAATGAAGGGCAGAAGTGTTCTAAATCCAAATCCACTCCTAGTACCCGACACTTAAGCACTTCATTTCATTTTTGCCTAAAGCTTCATCATCACTTCTTTTTTTTTTTTTTTTTTTTTTTGAGGCGGAGTCTCGTTCTGTCACCTAGGCTTGAGTGCAGTGGCGCGATCTCAGCTCACTGCAAGCTCCGCCTGCCAGGTTCATGCCATTCTCCTGCCTCAGCCTCTGAGTAGCTGGGACTACAGGCACACACCACCATGCCCGGCTAATGTTTTGTATTTTCAGTAGAGACGGGGTTTCACCATGTTAGCCAGGATGGTCTCGATCTCCTGACCTCGTGATCTGCCCACCTCGGCCTCCCAAAGTGCTGGAATTACAGGCGTGAGCCACCGTGCCCAGCTTATCATCATTTCAAATGCAAGAATGATATAATACAGATTAAAAGTAGTAAATCATAAAGAATTCTGACTTTACTCAAAACACTCCTTGTTGCTACAGTCCTTCCTGGATTTTAGACATTGAGTCTGCATAACAACTTCTGTTTCCAAAAACTACTTCTGCCCATGTAGGATGCATTTGGAATTCTCCCTCCCTGCCCTGCCACCCTGAAAATTATGGAAAGGGCTTAGAGATTGTCTGATCTCATTCAGTCTTTATAAAGAGAAAATCTCTGAGGCACAGAGAGACCCAGTGGCTTGTGTGAAATCTCACATCTATTTCAGGGACTGATCAGATCTGCAGTCCGGGTCTCCCGATGCCAGTCCCATAGTTTTCCAGACTCTGGTCTCTGTGCTGTAAAAATTCTCTACATGCTTTACAATCCTATTTCATTCATCTTAACATATGTGCTCTGTTTTTCAGCGGTTGCACTTTTGTGCCACATTAATCCTTTGTGTCTCTTCCACTCCTGCTTAATGTCATGGTTCTCAGCCAGTGATCGTGGTAACAAGGAATAGGGTTAGTAGGCACGGCTATGGTTGGAGGATAAGAAAAGGCGGGAACCAGTCGGACGTGGTGGCTCACGCCTGTAATCCCAGCACTTTGGGAGGCTGAGGCAGGTGGGTCACCTGAGGAGTTCGAGACCAGTGGTGGCAGGCGGCTATCATCCCCACTACTCGGGAGGCTGAGGCGAGAGAATCGCTTGAACTCGGGAAGTGGAGGCTGCAGTGATCTCAGATCACACCATTGCACTCCAGCCTGGGTGACAAGAACGAAACTGTCTCAACAACAACAACAACAAACAAACAAACAAAAAGCAGGTGAAGCTAAGCATCCCTCTCCTGGGCTCCAGTAGTACCTTCTGCCTCATATTGTTTCATGAATGCCTTGCTCTGTGTCTCCCTATGTAATTCTCAATTCCTTGAGTTTAGGGACTGTGTCTTATTAATTGGTATGTTCCAAGTGTCTGGCATAGTCTGTATGTAGGGAGTGTTTTCAATAACGGCAAGATAAATGAACTTTCATCCTCTTAATCCTCTATTCCATAGTGCTCATATCGGTGTCTTTCCTTCTTATTGAATAGCTCTGTATTTTTGAGCCATGATTATTCATTTCTACTTCTGTTTTCTGTTTTTCTTTTTCTTTTTTCTACAGATACTGTGCTGGGATCGACTTCCTTTTGATCATTACACAAATAACCATGGCTGCCTCTTATGTTTATTCAGCTTGTTTTTTTTCCATAATTTGTACAGTGGAAAACCTTGTGGCCGTTGAATTTGCCCATTTTAGCCTCAGTCATTTTAAACTCACATCCTGTCCCCCAAAGTGCTCGGCTATTCCCTATGCAATCCAACAGCTAATATTCTGCTATGCTTTGGGATCCACAGATTCTTTCACAATTAGTTCTTTAAACTAACCATTGTATGAATCAGGGTTCTTCACACATAGAATCAATAGGACGTGTGTATAGAGAGAGAAAGATATTTATTCTAAGGAATTGGGTCACATGATTACAGAAGCTGGCAAGTCCAAACCCTGCACTGTGGGCCGGCAAGCTGAAGACCCCGGAGAGCCAGGGGTGCTAGTGCGGTGTGCAGGCAGCAGTCTGCTGGCGAATTCTCCCGCACTCAGGGGAGGCCGGTCTTTCTGTTATACTCAAAAAGGCCTTTGACTGATCAGCTCAGACCAAGCCACATTATGTAGGGCAACCTGCTTACTCAAAGGCTGCTGATTTCCATGTTCATTTCATCATAGACACCATCACAGAAACACCCAAAATAATATTTGAACAAATACTGGGCACCCTCTGGCCCAGCAAAGTTGACACATAAGATTAACCACCAGGCCGGGCACAGTGGATCACACCTGTAATGCCAGTACTTTGGGAGGCCGAGGTGGGAGGATTGTTTGAGCCCAAGAGTTTGAGACCAGCCTGGGGAACATAGCGAGACCTTGTCTCTACAAAATAATAAAAATTTATCTGGGTGTGGTGGTATACACCTATATTCCTAGCTACTGGGGAGGCTGAGGCAGGAGGATCACTGGAGCCCTGGAGTTTGAGACTGCAGTGAGCTGTGATCATGCACTGCCCTCCAGCCTGGACAACAGAGCTTTGTGGCAGTTACCATAAAATGATTTCAAATGGTGATGTACTCTGTATAAATCAGGTATTAAACATATCATTAGTTTTATGTTCTAATTTGAACCAATGTTTGAGAAGTTTCATACTGTTCCATTGGCTCAAATTAGAATCATCCAGGGAGATTTTAAACGTTACGGATGCCAGGTTTCCCTCCCAGAACTTCTGCTTTCATTGGTCTGGGTGGAGCCCAGGGATCAGTGTTTTCGAAAAGCTTCCCACAAGAGTTTAGGTTCAGCCAGTGCCGCCAGCTACTGTTTTAAAAGCACAAAATGTAAGGGTACCTTTCTAAAAACTGAATGTGATTGTGGTGTTCTTTCTTTCAGATCAGTTGTGTAAGCATTTTTATAGGATTATTCTTCACGTTTTCTCTCCTTATTTCAGGTAACCGCTGGTGTTCCTCTTAAGAAAGAATATACAGAGGAGGTAAGAGGAGCTGTTTAGACACTTATGTGAAGAATCTCTCAAATCCGGTGACTCATTGGCTTTCAGTGAATGAGCCATCCTTCAGTGATCCCTAAGAAAAGTGCTGTTCTGGCTGGCGTAGCGACTCACACCTGTAATTTCAGCATTTGGGGAGGCCAAGGCGGCCAGATCACATGAGGCCAGGAGTTCAAGACCAGCCAGGCAAAACCCATGGCCAACATGGCAAAACCTCATCTCTACTAAAAATACAAAAATTAGCCGGGCATGGTAGCTCACGCCTGTAGTCCCAGCAAGAGAATTGCTTGAACCTGGGAGGCGGAGGTTGCAGTGAGCTGCGATCGCACCACTGTACTCCAGCCTGGACGACAGAGCAAGACTCTGTCTCAAAAAAAATAAAAGAAAAGTGCTGTTCTAAGAATCCAAGAGGAAATGGGTGGGGTGAAAGGATAAAATTCATTCAATTAACTCTTAAATATCAAGAAAAGATGGATATAGGCTTTGTCTACTATTGTCTACCCCCAGGACAGCCATCAGAGCAGGAACTCAAGGTCTCCAGGTCAGAAACAAATATGAAGTTTACACTTCTGTATTCTTTTGTCATGGAAGGTCTATATACAGTTGGCTTTATGACTTACAGGAGTGGCTTACACTTTCCTGTAAATAGACTTTGATTTACTGGCAGCAGTACCTCATAGCTCCTACAGGTGGCGCCAGGGATCTGAGCCAGGAATACCTGGACAGAGCTCCTCACCCACCTGGGGCCTTATGCCTGTCAGGCCCCAACCTGCAGAGCATGGGCACGTTGCGTAGACCCTGCAGCCTGTACGCAGCAGTATGAGCTGCCAGGCTTCAGACCTACACATATGCCATTGGACCCAGAATCATTTTAGAAATTTTTTTGCAGACGAACCTCCTTATTCTTGCAGCCATCTTTCTTGGAGGAAAAAATGAAAAAAGATGTCACAAATCCTGCCAGAGAGGTGCTGCCAGTTTAGCTTGGCAGGTTTGGTGGGAGGCAATACACAGGGGTCTGGGTTTTGCTTTTTTCTTTTTTACAGAACATCCAGCTGGTGGCAGATGGCTGCTGTAACCTCCAAAAGCAAATTCAGATCGCTCAGCTCTTTGGGGTTCCTGTTGTGGTGGCTCTGAATGTCTTCAAGTAAGTCCGGCCTCCTTCTTTAAATGTGGGCATTATCACTAGGCCACCCTGTGAACGATATTTGTGTCTTGGGGTATTTGGTCTTTCTAAAATGTTTTAGAATTTAGAATTGCTTCATCTAAAAGTATACAGAAATACCCAGTTCTTTCTGTTTGTTTATTTGGTTTGGTTTCATTTTAGCAAATGTGTTCTCACAATGTTATTAAGGAAGTGAAATTTATATATAGTGAGTTACTATCTCCTTGACTTTTTTTTTTTTTTTTTTTGTAATTCTACCCAGCATTTTTGTCTGAAACAAACTGTGAGTGATAAAAATTTATGAATTTTTATAACCCCTAAAACTTGAATCTGGAGTACTTTGGAGAGGATTTTTTTCCCTGCTTTTTCCTCTGATTTATTTAACACGATGTGACCTTTGATGTTTATAATGTGGTCAGTTTAGAGCGAATTTATAATATGGGTTCGTTTTCTTTCAAAAATCGTAATGGAAAGTGCAACCCAAACCTTTCTCTGACAGGACCGCCTCGCGTGAGATTGGACTTGGTGTGGGCTTGCAAAGCGGGCTGGTGCCTTTGTGCTCCTGCTATCCTGGTCGAGTTGGTGGACAAGGTCGGTGGACCTGGCTGGGCTGTGAGAGGGCTGCGAGAAAAGAGCCGGATTCCAGTTTCCTGTATGATGTTTCAGGTAAGTCTAGTAAAACAATGGCTCAATGTTTTCACCTTCTGTTTTCATTCAGTTATCACACACCTGCAATAAGAAGCTAAATTGAGAGTAGTTTAGGCCGGGTGCAGTGGCCTCATGCTTAATCCCAGCACTTTGGGAGGCTAGGGCGCAATCATTGAGTCTGTGAGATCAGCCTGGCAACATAATGAAACCCATCCTACTAAAATACCAAATTAGGGGATTCATCGGCTATATCATATACTGTAGGAGAATCTAACCCAAAGACGGTGGAGGTGCAGTGAGCCAATTGAGATCACCCATCACTCCAGCTGGGCGACGAGTGAGACATGTCTCACAACAAACAGAAGGTGTGAGAGTTGTTAAGCAAAGGTCAAGTTTCAAGTGCAGCCCAGCTCCTTATCCCTAAGCTGTGCTTTTGAAGATCCCCAAATCACAGGCCTAAGTGAAGGGTATTTAGTGAACAGGATTTGGCAGCTGACTTCAGGAGTTGCACGGAAGGCGATTTCGCCCAGGTTGGGAACATGGGAGGTGATTTTCCTTGTTCATTTCTCTTTTTTTTTTTTTTTTGTTGAGCGTTTATCTGTTGCTCAGGTGGAGGTACAGTGGGCAATCTTGGCTCCTGCCCTCTGCTCCCGGTAAGCAAATTCTCTGCTAACCTCGGCTGAGTAGCTGGGATACAGGCACCTACAAGCGACGGCCGGCTAATTTTTTGTATTTTTTTAGTAGAGATGGGGTTTCACCATTAGGGGAAGGCTAGGTCTCGACTCTGCCTCATTGTTCACCGTGCTCGCTCCAAGGTTGGGATTACCAGTGTGAGGAACCACACCTGCTCTGCTCGTGTTCATTCTATTTATGGTCTTTTCTCTTTGTGGTTTTATTGAACTATAATCTAGTTGTACGTTGTGTATATATACTATATATATGTCCTCATTTTTTTCATGTGGTAAAATTATATATACAAAATTTACTATCTTAGCCTTTTTTTTATTTTATTTTTTTGCGGAGATAGAACTTTGCTCTGTTGCCAGGCTGGATGCAGTGTGCGCGATCTCGGGCTCCCCACTGCACCACCGCTCCGGGTTCCCATTCTCTGGGCTGCTCGCTGGTAGCTGGGAAATACAGGGACGCGCCGAATGCGGCTGCGCTACATTTCTTTTTTGTATTTTGGTGAGGCGTAGGGTTTGACCATGTTGGCCAGGTGGTCTCGACTCTGAGTCCACGGTCGCCGTGCTCAAGCCGTCAGAGTGCTGGGGTTACAGGCGTGGAGTCACGCTCCAAGCCCTCTGTAACATTTTTAAGTGCCATCAGTAGTGGTAGTTTCACACTGTTGTGCAGGCCATCTCGAGAACGCTTTTCATCTTGCAATCAACTGAAACGTACCCCACTGACAACTCCCATGCCCCTCCACAGCCCTGCCAGCCACCATTCTGCCTTCGTTTCTTGAAATGTAGACAACTTAGGGACCTCATGTAAGCTAACGTCATACTGTGGCGTGGCTTCCTATTACTTAGCATAATGTGCCTGCCATGTTGTAGGTGTCAGAATTCCCTTTTTTTTTTTATTTTTTTTTTTTTTGGATGGGTTTCGCTTTTGTTGCCCAGGCTGGAGTGCAATGGCACCATCTCAGCTCATCGCAACCTTCTGCTCTGGGGTTCAAGCGATTCTCCTGCCTCAGCCTCCCGAGTAGTTGGGATTACAGGCCTGCACCACCACACCCAGCTAATTTTTGTATTTTTAGCAGAGACAGGGTTTCACCTTGTTGGTCAGGCTGGCCTCGAACTCCTGACCTTGTGACCTACCCGCCACAGCCTCCCAAAGTGCTGGGATTACAGGTGTGAGCCACCACTCCCGGCCAGGATTTCCTTTCTTTTTCGGGCTGAATACACTCCCATTCTTTGGATATCCCACATTTTGTTTCTTCATCCATCTGTGGATGGACACTTGCTCCCCCTCTCAGCTATTGTAAGGAATGCTGTATGGGCATGCGTGTTTATGGCATATGTACAAATATCCCTTCAATACCGTGTTTTCAATTCAATTGGAAATGTATTCCCAGAAGTGGGACTGCTGGGTCCTCTAGGATATTTTTAAGCACATGTTGATGGTTCAGTCAGACCTGAGCTTCCCAGGGCTCACTCTCCTCCTCAGATAGTCTGTCTTTGCAGCCCTCTGACATCTCCATTCTGAATTTTGTGGCTCCGGTTCTGGCTGATGGATTTGTCTTCAGGGGTAGTGCATGATTGTGGGGCGCCCAGGCTTCAAGCTGGTTGCTGCTTCTCCTGTTCTTTCATCCCTCACATATTCCATTGCTGTGTCACTCTTCTTTCCTGTTCGGTGGCATAAATCAGTAGCATAAGTTGAAGAAGAAATCAGTGAAGCAAGAGCTTAGCAGCGTTGTTGATAAGCCTGGAGTCACAGTGGTGAGAGCGTGGGGCTGATGTATCAATATTTAATATTACCCCAGCTCCTGCTTTTAAGGAGTTGTTTGTGTGCCAGGTATATGGGTGCTTTGCACATGTTCACCTCTGTGGTCCTAACATCCCTCTTAGGTGAGAACTGGTGATATCTTCCCATTTTACAGACAAGAAAACTAAAGCACAAAGAAACTAAGTCAACTGCTCAGTGTCCCATAGCTAGGAAGAGGAAGAGCTGGGAGAAAGAATGTCCAGATGATTGAGGTCATCATCCTGCTCTGTTCTTCAGAGCTAAGTACTGTGCTCAAAAGTGTGTGTGCATTGGAGGTCTAGGGGGAGACATAGTTAAAGGGGACAGTGACTGAGTGACCCTCCTGAAGAGGAAGGGTGACAGTGATAGGCACAGGCATAGACTCCATGCCACACAGGGGACATCATCACCAGCACGCAGTCAGTGTTTATGGAAGGAAGGACAGAGGGAATGAATTGGAGGCTAGCTCAGAAAAGGTTTGTCATTTTTATGAGGCCATTTTGTGAATGAGGAACTAGAATATTCTGGACTACAGAGGTGGTAGAGATCAATTGAGAGAGAAGATTTTGGATGAGTGAAAAGAAAAATGTTCCAGTTGGAAGTTTTGAGTTCTCAGACCTAGAGGCGTTCAGCGCAAAATAGATGTAGCCCTGCTGTGGGCAAGTCAGGCATTGAAGCCAACTCCGATGGCGGGTGGCCAAGGAGACCCTGGGTTCCTGTTCCTTGGTCCTGGGTAAAGCTCGCCAGGGTGCCTACAACCCTTGGCACATGCCAGGGCCTTTCTACATAAACCACTGTAGGGAGAGTCACCCCCAGATCCTGCTGTTTGAGTGTGCCTCAGACCATCTTGCCATCTGATCATGAACCACCCAACTCTACGTAGCAAAAGCAGTTATTTTCATGAATGATTTCATGAAATGTGGCTCTTTTCAAGGAAAACAGCCCAGGTGAAAAAGAGGTCAGTAATCAGAAGAAATGCTTCTGAGTTAGGCTGTCTCAGACATGCACTAACCCTAAGATGAACCCTTTTCCTTTCCACTGATATTTCAATTATTATTATTTTTTTTTTTTGCATTCCCATTCTTCATGGAGATAATGCTGCTAAAATGTCAGCTCTCCTCTGAAAGGAGGAAAATGTTTAATAATAATGTGGTCTAAAGTCCTCTATTTGATAGGTGACCTCAAGGCCAGGATCCCTGCCTCCTTTGCCAACACACTTCTCGCTCTTCTTGTAACAGAAATTCGATTTGAGCTGCATAATTATTTGTTAGATAATCAGCCTCCCAGCCTACTGCAGCATGACGGTTCATGAAAAGAGCTGCTGCTGCTGCTGCTGGCTCTCTTTGTACTGTCTGCCTGTTAGCTATGTTCCTCACACTGGCAAGATTTAGATCCTCGAAGACCATTTACAGTCTTGTCACCATGTAAAAATCTGAAGTCAATGGTGCAGTCAGTAATGGAGCTCAAGCCTTCTTTCCCCCTGATTTCTTGCATTGGTTGGTGCTGGTAAAACTTTAGTAACTAAGTAATGGTTTTCTGGAAGCCCTTTCTTACCTCCCCCACAGCCCCACACCCTCACAACCAACCCTTGGGTGCTGGGCAGTGAGAAAGGTGTGGCATTGCTCTACAGGAGAAAGAAGCTGTAAGTGCTTTGCATATGGCACTCTCCCACCTTTGCTTCTCAAAGCAAACTGGGTTTGTGTGTGCCCCTTGGTGTCTCCCCAGACTTTATATCCCCAAGAATGTATTCAGTACAAGACTGATGGCATCTTATGGGCTGTTCTTTCTCCACCCCAGTCGTGTGGAAGGAAAACACTGGAGATGATTTAGGGTAATGGAAAATAGTGCTAGAGTCCAGGGCATGACTGCATTTGAGTGTGAAGTAGAAATTGTCTCAGAACCCCACTAGAGTGGTTCCGCTGGAGAGAGTGGGACACCTGGCTCTCAGAGGCGCTGTGCAGCCAGACAGCAGCGTGCTGGACTTCCTGATGGCGAGCTTACAGGTAAAGGGAGAAACAGGCTGCACTTCTGACTTGGGAGTCTCTGCTGAACTTTTTAGAAAACTGACTTCAGGCCGGGCGTGGTGGCTCAAGCCTGTAATCCCAGCACTTTGGGAGGCCGAGACGGGCGGATCACGAGGTCAGGAGTTCGAGACCATCCTGGCTAACACGGTGAAACCCCGTCTCTACTAAAAAATACAAAAAACTAGCCGGGCGAGGTGGTGGGCGCCTGTAGTCCCAGCTACTCAGGAGGCTGAGGCAGGAGAATGGCGTAAAAACCTGGGAGGTGGAGCTTGCAGTGAGCTGAGATCCGGCCACTGCACTCCAGCCTGGGCGACACAGCGAGACTCCGTCTCAAAAAAAAAAAAAAAAAAGAAAAAAAAAGAAAACTGACTTCAGCAGCAACTGCCGTCTAGAGAACGATTTGGCATCTCTTTTTGCCAGAGTAACTTCTCACTCAAGAGTAGGCAACTTTTAATTACGGTACCGGGTGGAGGCAGCAATGAGTAATTTAGAATAAAGATTGAAAAATATGGAATAAGGTGTAGTAGACTA